AAATTAAAAGTATGTTGCGATCCAAAAACAGTTATTAAGATGACGGATATAAAAAAATCTGGGCATTACCCCTGAGAGGAAGAAAAGAAATGAGGTACATATGAGTCTTCAGAAACAATATATTATTCAAATGAAGTTTAACAGAATAAGCACTGATACTATATCATGATGTAAAGATCACAAAAATAAAACATTTTGTGATAAATAATGAAGGGCTATTCATTATTAGTGGATTTTGTGAAAAGCAAAATAGCTGTCAAGTAGTCTCAGTGTTTTAGAAGACCTCCATGTAGAAATCCAGATGGGAAATCTTCAGAGCCAGCTCCAAGTTGCAATAAAATTGAAAACATATAGAGTAGAGTTGTCATGCTAGTAGGTGTGCAAACAATGAAATCAACGTTTGGATTGTAACAAAAGTCAGCAATGTTTGATTTGGAAAGCACCATTCCTTAAAGAACATAATGCAATGGTTGAGTGTGGAACTTCAGGTATTTGTGCCTCAAACACAGGTAGGACAGTGGCAGGATGCACTGTACCAACTACAGGGAAAAGGCAAGGTGTTCATCTTTTCTAGAGTCATGAAACCAGGCAAGTGTTAGCTCAAGATGGGGCTGGACAATAAGTTGTGCAGGAAAAGGCAGCTAAATCTCCAACAGTATTGGTTAATAGCCTGTTACCAAAACACAGTGAAATTTTTTGCCCCATAGTGCCTTCAAGGTCACAATTGTGTTTTGTCTTCTAGAAAATTAAATTACTTAGTTTAAAAATATGAGATATATAGAGACCAGCAGTGTACAGGAACAATGTTAAAAATAATCCTGATTTGGTTAAACTTTGTGAACAGAGGAAATAGTTTTGCATGACAGTCATCAACTCTAGTTCCTTGAGGGTTATTTTGAGGGTTTTTGTTTTGTTTTGCTTTTTTTTGTTTGTTTTTCCTTTCTAATTTTATCCATGTATCACACCAGTCAGTGCTGTGACAAAATAGAGAAGAATAAAAAACAAAACCACAGCACATTCTCACCATGCAAAACAGGCATTAACCACACTAGTAATTTTTGTTACACTAATGAACACTAATGGCCAAGAGTATGCTGTTCCACTTTCTGATACAATCAGGAAAAACAGACAGCTTCTGACTTAATGTCCCACTGCAAAATTGTCTTCTTTGGAAATTTCTAGTGGTATTACCAAGAGCCAAAACAAAGAGAAAATGCCTTGATCAAAGAAATGACCATGGGTTCTCCTTTGGATTACCCAGTGATGCAAACATGATATGTGAAGATTGATTTTCACTATACAACTCCTAGTCATGCTACAAAGGGACATAAATAGCACATTGCTCAGCGTCTAATTCTGCAAAGCAAATGCATTTATTTGAATGTTTGAGACCTACACGTGATCCAGATTTCACACCCAGCATATATAGTTTAGAACAATGTTCGAATCTGGAGTTCAACCAGTCCCCTGACCCAAGCCAATGTTATTGCCACTTTACTGAAATGAAAAGGACTCTGCTTAAGGTCTAAATTCTCTTATTTAATAATCAGGAACAAATACTCAGTCTGAATAGCAAAGCAAAAGAGTACAAACTCTTTTATTTCATTTCATTTGATGGAATGAAATTCCATCATGACAGATAATCCAAATATAATTTATGCACTGTATTAAAAAAGACATAAAATGTACATTTGGTCAGCATTCTGTATCTATAAATACAGATGAATAATGTGTCCTTTTCATTTAACAGGATTTTGCACGGCATTTTATGTTTCTAAACACCATTTTACAATACAGCTTTTCCCTTATGCATAAATTGGTGTTTTGATTTTTTATTATATATGTCTTCATTATCATAAATAACCTTTACTTCCCTTTGAAATCTCATAAAAGCTACTGATCCAATTTCTGTGATGGTTCAAACAGACAAAGAATCATTGGTTCATGTGAAGCTGTGCCAATTTATTTCAGGGGAGCATTTGGCCAGAAGGAAGTCAAGCCAATTTTTTTTCCTATGTTGCTTCTCTAAATGATGAAAATCAAGGGTGGGAAAATGCAGTTTTATTAGTCTAACATCAAAGGCTGATTCCCAGTTCTAATTAACACAACAAAATTGTTTTTGTTCAGGGGCAGATTAAGGTGCTGAATGGAGCTGTGCAACTGCACTGGTGTGTGCTGTGCTTCTTTGGCAAGAGGTTCTGCTCCTCCTGTGCCCAGCCCAAAAGATCTCTGAAACACCCATGTTTCTACAGGACACTGTCTCTCTTCATGTTTGGTCCCTAAGCATTTAGAAGCAACTCTTTGTATGTGATTAATGAAATGCTCTCCTCTTTGCTCGTGCTCTAGTCCCTGCACTCCTTTCCTCTTGGTGCCTTCTCCATTCCAGGCCATGAGACCTGCTTCAGCAGCTCCAGGCCTCCTGGAGGGCACATCCCTGTTCCTGCTGTGCCAATCAGAGGACAGTACTGGTGTCAGCTTCCAGAACCTAGCTCAGCAGTGTTCACCCCATAAGGGCTGGCTGCAGCAGCGCAGTCACCTTCTGAATGCATCATGCTTTGAAATACATTTATCAAATAAGGCAACATTATGATGCATATACACAAAGACAGCTGACTAAATGCCAAAGACCAAATTGGGACAGGATGTCAAGCCCTCTGTTTTAGTCATGTTCTTGGGTATTTTCAGTCAGTGTTCTCATAAAGCTTGTTGTTATCACCACCCCAGCCCCACTGATGGGAAGGTCAGGTTGGTGGGGGCACAGCCTGTTTCTGCACATATGTGCTATGGAGAGAGGGAGGAGAGAAAACAAAATTGTGATAGTTTAGAATGTATACTTATATATGATATAAGAATATGTACTGTGGGGTGAGTAAGGAAGGGAGATACAGCCTAGATCCAGAGGAGAGTAAGATATTCTCTTGTCTGTGCACTGTTTTCTCCAGTGACACCTGAAACCAAGCCAGGTGCAGCTACCTTTACTGTTGGATTGATAAACTAGGATCTTCACCCCAGAGGATTTTATTTTCTCTCTAGTTGTCAAAGTAACTTACAATTTATGTGTAGGAGCATCTGTCCCCTATTCACTAGTGTAACAATTTACAGTCAAGTGTAGCAAAATCTTCTAGCATAACAATAAATAAAACTCCTCCAACTTCATCCTAATCTGGAATTATCATAGTAACAGTCTACTACTTCTCGATAATTATTCCAAACATGGAACTAATAATAGCCTGCCTGGAAATGTGTTGCAAATCCTGACTACCACTGACGCTTATTCACTAAGGCATTCAAATGTTTCCACAGAACACAAAGATTCATAGATTAACAACTGCTCATTCCCTGGGGGAAAAAAGAAAAAAAAAGGAGAAAAAAAAAAAAAAAAAAAAAAAAAAAAAAAAGCCCAACATCTGCTTCATTCTAAGAACAATATTTGCATTTGAAATTATAGTTAAATGGAAACTGTGGTATTTTCTGGCATAAAATCCACAGTTAAAGATACTGCATTGCAATGTGCATTCTTTTTCTGGATTCTAGTTGTCCTTGCAATCTATCTTCCTGTTTTGTATGAAACTGTGAAAATTTTTACAGCTTCTAAGTGGTAGTAAGTCTCATAATGAACTGTCACAAGGATAGATGTTTTCCATTTTTCTAAGAGGTTCTTTCTATAATAATTACCATTTTCAACTTTTTATCTTAATTTCCCAGCTGTCTGACCATGCACCAGGGAGAAAGGAACATGAGGCAGACTATATGTTAAGAATGGCGCCTCTGCCCCGACAAACAACAGGAAATCAGTGAGTATCGCCTCCTGCAAACTTGTTCAAAAAGTGGTGTGTCAAACAGCCTTTCTCTTGATTGGTATAAGAAAACCTTCTCATCCATCACTTCCTTGACTACTGCGTAAATTCTGCATATGTGAGAAATGAAATATTAAGAATTAAACTTTTGTCACAGTTCTGAGTTTTCTCCCATGCAAAGTGGCAATTGATGTTCCCTGTTGCCATCCCTAGGTGTTATAAAGTAACTTATATGACACTGGAGCAGCTGATCTGATGTCCTACGTCCAGACATAAGAGATTCATAGGAAAAATGTAGAGGACACCAGATCTGCATAGAGAAGGCTAATTCAGTAGATAGATCATCTAAAATGAGGTGATAAGAAAGAAAGAGTCAGACTTTTGGGCAGGGTCTGTTGTGATAGACAATGGGGAAGTGGTTTAAGAGGGGAAATTTAGATTGGATATAAGGAAGAAGTATTTTACAATAAGGAGGCACTGGAACAGGTTGCCCAGTGAGGTGGTGAAAGCCCCGTCCCTGGAGATATTCAAGGTCAAGCTGGATGGGGCTTGAACAGTCTGATCTAGCTGTAGATTTCCCTGGTCACTGCAGAGGAGTTGGACTAGATAACCTTTAAAGGTCCCTTCCAACTCCAACGATTCTATGATTCTATGATTAGTTGCTGCAAAATACACTGTGGTAAAGTATTATGTCTTTTCTGTACCCACAAATACGTCTGCAGTTTAGGTCCTGAGACATGCAACAATAAATGGTATGATTTGTGTTTCTTAATCTCTTGAAGGTGAGAGGGATCTTCATGGAGATTTTCCTCTCTGGCAATGTTGGTGATCAGTGTGCATGAAAAGCTGTGAGTAAAAGGGCCTTCTAACTGCAACAGGAGTGGGATGAAGAAAAAAGGAATTTGTTCTTTAACACACACAGGCACTAAACAATAGGAACAGTCTCCTTGTGACTGTTTGTCTCAAATCTTCATGACATTTTTGCTCTTTTTATGAATGTTGCCTGCTCTCTTTTTTTTCCACAAATCAGCCTGAATGCACAGGTAATCCAATAATACTCAAGTGTTGAACTTTTGAATTGAAAGAGTGTTCTAAACCCTTGAGCTAGATATAAAACATCCAATATCGTTTCTCTATGTAGAGAGGGCACAGCAGTCTGTACCATGCATATAGCTGATTCCTTGCACCAGGACCATTTAATCACCATTTCTTTTCCACAGAAGTTCATTTTGTTGCAATTAAATACACTGTGTTTCCAATACTAGAGGAAGTTCAGAGTTTTCAGTACTGATATCTCATAGCTCTCCACAGAACAAGCACTGTGGAAAAAATCATTGCCTGCACTTTCTTGTAAGACTCCTATTTTAACCCATCCAGTCTACTGCTCTGCACTGTGAAAATCCTTTGCCCTCTGCTCCCTCCAACCCTCACCCTACTGTCATTTTTTATACTTAGTACTGTTTACATGTTTAATGGCCAAAAAAAAAAAAAAAACCAACGTGATTTTCTACAGCCCTAATGGAAGATGAATGTGAAATATTTGTGACAGGCTCTTTTCAGCAATGTTTAGGGGCTGTAAAAAGGACATTACTAGTGAAGTAACCTAGGATTTCATTTCAGACAGATTTATCAGCAAACAGCCAGAGCTTACATTAATGATCCTGAAGCAATCTGGAATATAGAATTATGACTGCTAGGGCTAGAAGACCTGAAACATTTTTTTCTAACATTTCTAATCAACTGAATTAATTCTTCATACACTACTGTTATGCTCTTTGTTCCCTGCATGGTGAGTCCTTTGGCTAATTGAATTAGGTGTGATACATATCTAACTCACATCAGGACTACAGATGAATGAATAAGAAGTGTGTAAGTGCCATAGTCAGTGAATTTTGCCAATATTCCTACTGTTGTCTGGACAAAGCCACTACTACATGGCTTTGTGTATGATAACTTAAATATCTATCAGCTGCCGAGCAATCCTTCATTTAACCTTTCACATTATTTTGAGTGACTACACCAGCTAATAGTACATTTCTTTTCCTTTATCATAAGTGACTTTAACCTGCTAATCAGATTCCACATTTCCTTCCTGAAGGAGAAAGAATTGACCTTTCAGTGTAATACAATTTTATCATTTTGCATCCTTTGATAGAACCAGAACACGGAGTAATCTGTCTGTGAAGACATGACTCACATTCCATGACTTGACTCTTCTTCTGATGCTGCCAGAGATCCTGGCACCTCACTTTGTAAGAATAGGACATATGCAATCACAAAGGAATGAAAAGTAATAATCTCTTGCAAGCAGAAATGAAGAACATACTATCTCTCTTAATCAGGTATGGATTTCCTGTGTTCACAGACTTCTGATCCCACAGGTACTCCTCCAGAGATATTTGTGTACTGTCACAAAATATATTTTGAAACATTTGAAAGATGTATTTCATTCTGAAAATTATTTCTTTCAGTGAGGAAGTTAACAGAAAGTATAAATTTTCATTATAAGGTCAATCCATTTACTATTCAAGAATGGATTTCTCTCTCTGTCTTTGTAGCTAAGTGAGCTTAACTTGGTTTCAACTCTCTTACTCTTAGGAAGTCTACCACTTTCTAATGACTACCATTAGAAGCCATTAGAAAAAAAGCCTTGCCTCCAACACTAGGCAGGTTCATTTCATTCAAACTGGATCCCTAATCCCTTAGCTAATCCTTCTGATCTGGAACGTGTCTGTTTTAGATGGGCTGAGGCATCAGAGTCCAGTTTCTATTGATAACAGTGTAGTGAAATCATGATCTTAACCTAAATGAATCACTGAGGCGAAGAATGCCCCTATGTTAAATGATTAAAATAATGTTAAAACTTTTTGTTAGGTCACATTTTCCTCATTGACACATAAATGCAGTGGTGTTTCTATTCAGAACTTTCAAAATGAATTATGTTTGGTTTAGAGATCTGCATTACACATCTTCCCATACTCCTCTCACTTAGATACTTACTGCTTTAATAGGGAAAGTAACTCAATATATTTTTACTGCCCATTTTTTAAAATTAGTGTTGTGACAGGGAACTATGTCAATGCCTGAGTTTTAATGACTCTTGAATTAGTATTAACTCCCTTCTAACTCCCTTCTTTTTTATTTTAACCTATTGATGGAAACCATTACACTACAATAAAAGTTTACTGTGGGGACAACTTGTTCCTGTGGCAATTTTCCTCTTTCCCTGTAGAAAAGTAGCTATTTTAAAAAACAAACATCCAAAAATGAGCAGAATGGCTCAGCAAGAGTTTTGCTTGGCGGCTGGGACTTGCTTCAGAGTTCCATTGGTCCTTTGGGAAGTTTCTCATCACAAGATAACCAATAGGAATGCACGTATTTTTTCCCAGGTAAGAAAACACATCTAAGTCCAAGCTGTGAAAAATCAAATCAGTACTGAAGCGAAGCCCATTGATTTTCTTTCCCAAATCAGAAATGCAAGAAAGCTTGCTTCCAAGGGTATATACTCCAAGTGGTCTTCCAAGAAGTCTTCAGTCCTGAAAGCAGACAACATTTACAGGATTACTGATATCAGGAGAAGAGAGGAAGGAATCATCAAGTGTCATTCTACTTTTCCTGACTGCTAGGCAGCTCTGCTTTGGACAGGCAGGCATTACTTCTTCTTAGCAATGTGAAAGACGGGCTTATCTTGAAAATCTGTCAAAAATTTTTGGGTAAGTTAACCAACTTGTCTTATGTGCCACTGATCATATTCTTGAATGGGTCCACTTGATTCAGTTCTGCCAAGGGCCGCTGAGTAACTTTTACAAGATTTCTTTTGGAGGTTAGTTTATATGGGCTAGCCAGCAACTTTGAAAATGAATATAGAGCAAAGCTGATTGCTGTTTTCTCACATGGCTGTACTTCAGATGGGTTTGATCAGGTCTAACCTCATGCTCATTTCTGCTAGCTTAAGGATTTCTGTATCCAGCAATCCCATTTCCTTGAAGTAATTCTTAGTATTTCTTTGGGAGATTGGATAAATAACCAAACAACTATTAACATTTAATCCAAACTGCTTCTTAATCATTCTCTCTTCAATTTTTGGAGGGCTGGGATCATGACAAGTATTAGAAGCTCACCAGTGACGTGAATTAATTATGTTTAATAAGAAAAAAAGAAAGGGGGGGGAGGGAGAGGGAAGGAGAAGCTTGCGTCTGCTGTAGTCGTCAATAAACTTCTCAACGGGAAGCTTTGTTCCAAATCACCCAGTGCTTTCAGCAAAATGTCATTGGAGAGAGATGTTGCTAGATGTTCCTAGACAGCAGTTAAATTGGAGAGGAAGAGAAAAAAAATGAAGAAAATTGCCAGAAGTCCTGCTGAACTATTAATCACAAAGAAGGCACACTAGGGCTTTCTGAATACAAAGAAACGCACCACAGCTTTGCAGAAACACCAGTTGTGAATGCATCACCATTCTCTGCAGATCTGTCAGAGCTGCTGTGGGGAAGCTGGAAAATCTTAAGATGGATTTAGCTTCTCACAAACTGCTTGTCACTGTTTTTTTCTGAGGCCAATCTAAATGGTGTCCAGCAGGATAAGGTGGTGGGGTAAAAAATGTGCTTTAGAGTAGTTGTTTTTCAAATAGGAACATAAAATACCTCTAGAGGTAATAATGGGAAAATTTACACTCGTTATTTTTTCTTTGCCAATGCTACTGCCATACTTGTCTACTAACAACAGGCCTACTGCATACTGCACTGCAGAAACTTGCTGAGGGTTACTGAAGCTCCTGATATAGCTGCATTATGCACATTTTGATACACCCTTATTTCCCAATGCTGAAGACCAAGCAAAATATCAAGGGCTGTTTTGGTTTGAATTGGCAGGTGGCTAAGCATCAGGCAGACATTCATTCACTTCCTCTCTTTACAGTGAGAAGAGGGAGAGAATCAAAAGAAAAAAAATAACAAGTAGAACACGTGGATTGAGATCAGAGCTATTTACTAAGATAGAGAAAAGGAAAAGGGAGGAAAAAAAAAAAGGATAATAGTTATGACAAATATATATATATAAATGTATATATATAACAAACAATGCACAGACAATTGCTCACCGCCTGCTGACTGATGTTGAGGTAGCCCAGTGACCCCAATGACAGGAAGCCTGATGAACTCCCATCTTTTTCAAACTTTCCTTCCACACGATGTTATATGGTATGGAATATCCCTTTGTCCAGTTCAGATCAGATGTACTGATTCTGTCCCTCACACCTCCTTGGGGTCCCCTAGTGCCTCACTGGCAGGACAGTACAAGAAAATGAAAAAACTAAACATCTTTGGCTCTGTACAGCACTGTTCAGCAACAACTAAACTATTGGTGTGTTATCAGCATTGTTTTTGTCTTAAAACCAAAACATAGCATCATGTCAGGCACTATGAAGAAAAACAACAGTGTCAGCTGGAACTAAGCCATCAGAAGCAAAGACAAAGCTATGGGGAAGATAAAAGAGCATATTGGTTATGAATAACAGGAATTTATACCTCAAACAACTGGTATCACATGTAGCAAAGTATATAGTAAGGTGGCACAAGTTCTAATAACTTGAAATTTTATATAAAAAAATAGCGACCAAGCTACTTCCACGGTCCTATAATTATAAAATGGTAAGAAATCAGCAGTGTATTTTTTGAGAGGAATTCAGGTGACCCAAAAGCAAACTGCCTTTACTTTATTAATCTTTGAGAACAGCCCATTTATTTCAAACATTTTTGCAAGATAGGGAGATAGGGGAGAGGGAAAGTAGCCTAGCAGAAGTTTTAAAAATCCTTTGAAAATCTGTTTCAGCATTTTAATAGACCAGTGAGGCAAATTACACAGAGTCTTGGAAAATGATGTTTACAGAACTCGTCCTACCCATTGCAGCTGATAAAAACTTTAAAACCAGTCTGTGATTCAATTAAATAGAAAAGTAGAGGGGTTTTTTGGCAGAGAAACTAAATTATATCAGCTATGTGAACCACTTGTCAGGAATCTAGCAGCTGTTTTCTTGAATTCACTGACAGCCAAGGGAAAACTAAAGCTGTAAGAGTTACAAGCTGCTCGCTAATTCATCTGTTCTTTTACACAGGAAAAATCTGAAACTCTCCAACACCCACTGGAGTGAAAACTCATCCATGCCAAAAACCTTTCCACAGGCAGGCTTCAATAATCTGCCTAAAAGATTGCACTTGAGCTTCCCTAAAGAGGGTGCTAGAATGTGATATTGACAGTGAACTGGTTTGTCTCTTCAGATTATGCTCCATTCTGATGAGGAGCAGGGAGCGAGGCCCTGGTTGCACATTCAGGAGTGGGAATGAGCGGGGGGACAGAGATGTAAGTGCTGAACACATTCCTTAAGGAGGAGCTCCTAACTCTGATTTTGTGCTCTTAACTCCACTGGTTCACCGGTTACCCATGAGGTGAGTGTCCAACCCATTGCTGCTGTGAACCAGAAGACCAGTCTGCACAGCCTGCTCAAACAACAGCAGTGCTCCAAGGGACTGCTTTGACCCCATCAATATTACATATGCATTCAACCCACCAGTTTTATATTCTTGTGGCAACATTTTTTATACTTTAATAAAAATACAGAAATATAAAACAAGTTTTGTTACTTATATACACTGACTATATCATATGTTTTATGTGTGGCTCAAGGCAATTCCTTTTCACTCAATGCAACCCAGGCAAGGCAAGAGGATGGACACTGTGAACTAGATCTTACCCTGAACATGGGTAAAGAACCATTGATTTTAAACCTGTGGTGACTATTCCACAAACAAAACAAAAACAAAAACAAAAAACCAGTGAGATAGCCTGCATCCCCTTAAATGCTGAAGGGGGAGCTTTAGTAGGTTTATGACTGGTTTATCTTAGTTATATTAGTATTATCTTAGTATTAAATGGGGAGGTTGGTGTTATAAGTGGTCAGTGTTCCCAGGACAATTATTCTGGCTACTTAAACAAAGTTTCTTCAGTCAATACTTACTGAATTCTAAATGCCTTCAGATACAGTTTCAGAAAATCAAGTTACAGACAAAGATTTCTCAGTACTTTTATACAAATAACAGTTTCCTTCTTCCTCTTCTGCATGGAATATACTATGTAAGAATATAATTCACACTGACCAACAGCTCTCCAATGCCTTCAGCAGTTTCAAGGAGTACTTCAGCCATATAGAATATAGGGAGCGATATCTTTACCATAAGAGATCTTCATAAAATATGTTGTCTTTTCTTTTCTGCATGTGGATTGAAGAAGATGATCAAAGGGCTGGAGCACCTCCTCTACAAAGACAGGCTGAGGGAGCTGGGCTTGTTCAGCCTAGAGAAAATAAGGCTGTAGGGTGACCTCATTGCAGCCTTTCAGTATTTAAAGGGTGATTACAAAAAGGAGCACAATTGATTTTTCACTCGGGTAGATAGTGATAGGACAAGGGGAAATGGTTTTAAACTCAAGGAGGGAAGGTTTAGATGGGATGTCAGGGGAAGTTCTTCACTCACCAGTGAGTGGTGAGGTACTGGAATAGCCCAGAGAAGCTGTGGATGCCCCATCTCCAGAGGTGTTCAAGACCAGGTTGGATGGGGCCCTGGGCACCCTGGTCCAGTATTAAATGGGAGGTTGGTGGCCCTGCATGTGGCAGGGGGTTGGAGATCCTTGAGGTCCCTTCCAAACCAAGCCATTCTATGATTCTATGATTCCACAATTGTACCAAAAGCATGTTGAATGCTGCTAGTTATCATCTCAGATGATAACAGGCCATAAATATCTGCTGTGATAGTTTGATGCTTTTCTAATTTATGCCAAGCAACAAGATACCATAGTCCTACGAAGCACAGAACAGTTGCATTTCAGACCCAGTTCCTGCAATAAATCTGGGGTTTCCAGGAGAGGCCTAATTGCATATTTTAAATGAGGCGTACACTTAAATGGTTTGCCAAGTCAAAACCTTTCTCTGCGAGTTCTCTTGCTAGTTATTTTTACCCATTTCCTGGCATAACGCAAAACAAAACTCCCACTTGGGTGCTCTGATATACAGTGAATAATTAGAGCTGAATGGAAAACGGAAATATTTTTCAAGAAAAATACCCCCCACTCCAACTATAAATATTCCAATATATAGCAAACAAATAGTGCTTATAATAACAGCAATGTAAAGTAATATATAGTAATGCAAAACAATGAATAATAACAATGTAAAACTGATTTTTAACCAGTGGAATTTCTCCACTTAAGTAAATGGCTGGCTTAGTGAATATTCATATTAATTTCCACAATGAAATTCACTGGATAAAGGATATTTACTCAGTGGGAGTAGCTCTGTCAGAATCTGGCCCCAGTGAGTTAATGTTCTGTTTCCATGTACTAACTGCCTTTACTAGCAGAATTTAACTCTGAACAGTTAGAATAAGCAAGTCAGCAAGTGAAAGCTTTGTAATAACTGAAGATGGCTTGCTAATGTCAACCTTTTGGATTTTTCCATTAAGGTGTACGCATTCAAAAGCAAGTTTAGAAAAACGAGAGAAAATCAGAAACTTTCAGTTGCACATGTAATTACTCTTAATTTTAGTAACTCACAGTGAATACACTGTATGGGTATATCAGTGTACTGCAGTTAGGTCTGAGATAGTATAACCGTAAATAGAATCTGAAATTGTATGAAAATAAACATAATAAAGCTTCCTTTGTTCTCACTCATTGTTTTCGGGCTAAGTTCAAACCATCTCCAGTAACAGAGAATTACTGAATGCACCATGGATTAAGAAGAAACAGAACAGAGACACTCTTCTAAAACAAACAAACAAACAAAAAATGTATACTGAGAAGAAAAGAAGCATATCTTGCAGACACTACAAAATAAATCCCTTCACATCTGCTCACTGAAGATTCTGAGGCTAAAATTGTGGCTAAAATCAATCTTTTTTTGATTTCCATTGTTTTAACTCATCTATCTCATATTCTCTCTTTTTTTTTTTTTTTTTTTACTCTACTTCTCATTCACAATCTCTCTCACCCTTTCTTCTCCCTTGTGTTTGTGAAAGTTGACTGTCCATGGAGAAGAATTCATACAGGAAATTTAATGTCCTGGAGTACATTTCCAAATCATGCTCATACAAGTTAACCTTGACAGTACATTTGGCAGAGTTTTCAAAAGAGGTTATGTTATACAGAGGTGGCAGTAAACCTAGTTCTTTGTTTCTTCTAAAAAATAATTCTGTTTATAAGTGGATGATCTATCAGAATGGAAAATGAGTAGCTTATCACAGCAATGAAGAAGCTGAATTTTGGCTGAGCAAATAAACAGTTTTACCCATCCTATCATTACTTTCTTACTATGACTGCAAGTTAAAACAAAAATCTGATAGTAAATAGATATTGAAATTATCAAAAACAGCTGTGCTTGACTGTCTGAACCTCAAAGGAAGTTTGAGCAAGAGCTTGAAATGAAGAAATTTGCAGAAAAAAAAAAAATAAAAATGCAAGAAATGGAAAAGTGAGTTCAATCCCTGAGAAAATAAAGGATAAGCAAGAAACTGTTTGAGAAGTGATGGCATCTCATAAGGCAGGTTGAAATTCTAGAAGGTAGGGATATTTGTCAAGGTTACCAACAAGGACATTTATCACTGTTCAATTTCCCTTTTTTTTTCAGCTTTTTCTGTCACAATGTTTAGGTGAAAAATGATGTCAAAGATAACACTGAATGGCTGGTGTGATAATGTGTCCATTCTTCCCCTTCTGTCTTCCCATTTTTTTATTTTACTATATTTCCTAATTTTTTAATTTATTAGTTTGATTTTGATTGCTTTTTTCCTGAACTGTAGAATGCTTTTTCTGTAACACTGCTTACGCATTTTCATCAGAAATTTCTACCTCTTCATACTATCTTCCTTATAAACATCCTGTGCTGCATTAATAAAGATTTCCAAGAGTCTCCCCAGGTCACACATAACTAACTTCTCTTTTCTCTAAACAACCCAGTTTCTCCCATTACAGTTTTCATGAAGCAATTTAGTCAAAAGAATCTAGGCGCTATTGGCAGCTTTGGGTGAATTACATCTCTGTGATTAATTTTATGAAAAACAAACAAACAAACATTTGTTTCATATTTTTCTCAGATGAAGAAAGAAACAGTATAGAGAAGTACATACACTTGTGGTTTTACTAACTCACTGAATTCCAAAGTGCATGGTTAATTCATAGTGTACTTGAATGATAGATTTTGCCTTGAAATCTCTGATTTAGAGGGAAGATATGTTAAATGAAAAGCAAATGGAGAACATCTTCATCCTTATGTTTCTGTGGAGAATCCAGTGCACTCTTTACTACAGAAAATATAAAGGAAAAGACTCCCACCTGTGAAATATGAGCTGCTTTCAACAGTTTCATTCATTGCTTTCAGCAGCTCTGTGAATCAACAAGTACCTGTGAAAATCTAACCTTACTCACTGCCTTCAGATGGATTGTCTTGCCAACTATAGTTTGTACATATGGCAATCTGAAGCCAGTAATTTTGAGGAGACAGTGGCAGGAGATAGAATCACAGAATGGCCAAGGTTGGAAGGGACCTCAAGGATCATGAATCTCCAACCCCCCCGCCACATGCAGGGCCACCAACCTCCGCATTTAATATTAGGCCAGTCTGCCCAGTGCCCCATACAAGCTGGCCTCGAACACCTCTGGGGATGGGGCATCCACAACCTCTCTGGGCAGCCTGTTCCAGCACCTCATCACTCTCATAATAAAGCAACTCACCTGACATCCAAACTAAATCTTCCCTCCCTCAACTTAGAACCATTTCCCTTGTCCTTCTGTCCTCTTTCAAAGTGTTGATTTGTAGTCTCCCTTTAGGTACTGAAAGGCTGCAATGAGGTCACCCTGCAGCCTTCTTTTCTCCAGGCTGAAGTTCTCCTTTTACATTTACCAAAGCAGGTACACTCACTTTGTCTCTTCTGGCCAATGTACCTGTAGAAAGTCTTCCTATTGTTTTTCACGTCCCTCGCCAATTTCAGTTCTGCCTGCACCTTGGCTTTCCTGATCCCACGTCTGCAAGTCCAGGCGGCACCCCTGTATTCTCCCCAGGCGACACACCATTGTTTCCAGAGTCTGTACGCACCTTTCTTTGCCCTCAGCATGTCCAGTAGGTCCTTGCCAAGCCATGCTGATTTCCTACTTACTCTGCCTGCTTTCTTATTCAAAGGGACAGAGAGCTCTTGTGCTCTCAGGAAAGCATCCTTTAAGAGTAGCCAGCTCTACTCAAATATTTATTTTTAGAGACAGCATCCCAGAGGATCTTGGACAACAGCCCATTCAACAGCTTAAAGTTCACTCTTCCAAAGTTCAGGGTCCTGATGCCTCTCTTTGCCAGACCCACATCCCTCGAGATCACAAACTCAACCAGGGTGTGGTCACTTCAGCCCAGGCTGCCTCCAACCTTAACACATTTAATGATCTCCTCTGCACATCTCTGGTCAGTCTGTCCAATACCTGGACCAGAAAGTTATCATCATATAAAGTAGACTTAAGTTGTTGAGAGGCAGTAGTGATGGGTAGAGTGAGAAGGAGGGTGGTAGAAAGACTAGAACT